TAACTGCGATTTGTCTCTTTATTATATTTACGAGTACATGTGATTTAAATGTCATAAAAAAAGTTTCTTGAAAACTAAATAGTTTTCGTGAAAACGAGCTCAAAATTTCGTGTTTTCAGAAACGCTTAAACGCCATTTTCTCAAAAACGGACTCAAACTTTTTCTTCACATTTTTCGAACTGATAGTGCTAATATGACATAAAATTCATTTGGGAGTATTTTTGTGTAATTACACAAATGTCATTTCTTTGAAATATCTCTCATTCCGCTAATATGCACATTTCGAGCAATTTGTTAACACTATTGTATTTGTGAGTTAAGGGTTTCAAAAGTTTTTCGAAGACTCAAAAATTTTCTGTGAAAAAGAGCTACAAATTTCGAATTTACAGTAAAACTTAAACGCCTTTTCTTCAAAAAAGAGCTCCAATTTTTTCAAAGAAAATTGCCATTTAGGACGACGTTCTTTAATATTCTTAAAATTATATTTCCGTTCTTTTAGGAAACCGCAAGAGTTTGTGGCAAGTCCGAATAGCTGGACCAGACCAAAGAAAATAAAAACTAATACGAGAAAGTCTGTGCCATTTGTAGCATCAATTGGTTTGCTTCGCAAATCGGCCATCATGGGGCCACGCAATTCGTGCATACCACCGGGGTTCAGTCCTGAATATGGAGGAGGTGCACGTTATTTTCTATTAGGGAGGGGGGTTTCCATTTTAACGCTGATTCCATTTTTACACCCCAGGTTAATTAGCGCAGGGGGTTGGGGTGAAATTGTGATTCTTCTTCTCCTCCTTCTCCTCCTCCTTCTCCTCCTTTTCCTCCTTCTCCTCCTTCTCCTCCTCCTCCTCCTCCTCCTCCTCCTCCTCCTTCTTCTTCTTCTTCTTCTTCTTCTTCTTCTTCTTCCTCTTCCTTCTTCCTTCTTCCTTCTTCTTCCTTCTTCTTCTTCTTCTTCTTCTTCTTCTTCTTCTTCTTCTTATTATTATTATTATTATTTTAAATAGTGGGATATGTTGCTATTTATCGAGTGCTGCTATTTTATTATAATTGTATCATGCTTTTTGTGTATTTTAACGTCAGTAACATGTCATTTATATTTACTGAAATTAAAATTCTGTTATAATCCTTGTGGTCTGAAGATGAGAAAAAACCAACAAAACAAGCATGATCCTCGAAATGTACCCCCCACAAAAAAAACTTTTTAAATGTATACAAATTTTAAATTTTATGATTTTGTGATTTTATTTCTACAGTTTTTTAAGTGACTCGTGTCTGTCAAGAAAATATCTGTTGCCAAACTATCTTGTGATGTGAATGATTTCAGATCTTTTTTTAATGTGCAAAGGACGAAATGTGTACCAGGCCAAGCTGATAATACATCATTTTTAAAATCGAGAAACAAATCTGTCGTAGTATGATAATGTTAACTTCATACAACTAAGTGAAATATATAATATTAGAAAGTAATGTTTAATTTTCATATTTGGGCACAGTTGTACGCATGTAATTGCTCTAAAAATTTGGTCAAATTTTTCGCTAATTTGAAAATTCCGCCTTGGGACGATTGGCATGCCTGTAGATTAAACATTTTCTTGATGGTCCTTCTCGAATATCGGTCATTGCTGATGGTTATGTTTGCAGGTTGTGTGCGTCTCTTGCCTATTTTCTTGTTCGTGTGTGATATTTACGGGTTAAAGGAGACAAGGAAAGTGATTGAAAGAAGTACATTGTGAAGTTTTTAATACAAAACACAGATTGAATCAACAGTTTTTTCTTCGCAGTGGAAAAAAACTCGAATTGTCCTTTCACTTCGTACTGCAAGAATACACTTTGCGAATAGTAAAGCCGGTTTGTTACTATTGGAAACACAACATCTTGTTTGTGATAAAATTAACATTACACGTGTGTGTGAAACACTTGCAATTTTTTAATTAACGCTGTTGTATGATAGCAGCATCGCATTGAATTGACGCTTAAAATGGTAAGTATGAGGTTCTAACAAACAGCTTGTCCAAATTTCTGTCAATGATCTTTAAATAGAGCTGCCCTTTTTGTTAGGTCTGTAATAATGCAACATTGTAATTAGTTTTTGGTTTATTGTAACTTGTTTCTATTGTTATGAGTACTGTACAAGAAACATGTCTCTGGAAATGAATGAAGAACATTTACTTTTTCAAATTTTGCAGGTATTCATGAGTACTCAACAAAGTCCTGCCAATTTGCAAGCTAGTGTTGATCGAGAAAAGATATATCAGTGGATTGTGGAACTGTCAAATCCAGAAACCAGGGAAAATGCTCTTTTGGAACTTAGGTAAGTTATAACTACTGTAGATAATTGTTGAAAAGCTATTTATTGCATTATCGAATATTTTTATTTTGAAGTTAACTTGGAGTATTAACTTTTGTATTTGTCTATTCATTTCACCATATGTAAACATACAGTTTGTGTCTTTGTGTGTGAAGAAGGTAAATAAAGAATATAAATCATTTGTTTTTATAAATAATATTGACAAACAATAGAATGAACACCATTTGAATTAAGAACATTGTTTATAATTCGAGCTCAATAATGCATTTTTCTGAAATCATGTTTCTATTAACTTGATAGAAAGAAAACTGAAAAGACTTGGTTTGTCATGGTCATTGAAATTATGTTTAACCAATCATTTCTAATGTATGAATGATATACGTATTCAAGTGCAAGTAAAACTTGTTTTTGTCTTCCAAATTTTGAACATTATAATGGAAAGAAATTGACGACTAGAGATTTTACTTCAATTTGATATAAAATAATAAGTGATTGAATCAACATAGTGCTAACCTTTATTTTACATTTCCAAAATATCTTAGAATTTCTACAAAAACCAAATATTAATCTCTAAGTACTGTACAAGTGTGTTCATAAAACTGCAGCATGTGTATTGATAGGGTTGAGAAGTGTACACTCACGCACCCTAGGACCTGTTTGAATTAACAAAGTATTTGCTTCTCTCCAGGCAGTCAAAAATTACAGAAATGTGGGTTAGCAGTGAAGTGTTAAGTCCAGTTGATTTTGTTTTGATACCCACCAACTGCATACTTTTTCAAAAATTATTTGTATCTAACCAGTCCAAAAAGCTGAATCAATTTGTAACTTAGAAATGTTTTGTGTATTACAAATAAAAGTTTCAAGATTTGTTCATAACATATCACAGAACATTTGAGAAAGTCCTAATTGTATTAGTGTTAAAGAGTCAAAATATTGAATGGCTATATGTGCATTAAATTTTTAATTAGAATGTAAACTTGGAAATATAACTTTAATACTTATTTAAAAAGTAACTTTACACCCAAATATTAGTTTTTTGTATAAAACAATGTTTAAAAAAATTGTTGTTTGTACTAATTATCTTCAAGACATATTTGTAAACTATTAAGTATTCAGTTAATCAGAAATATTCACAGAAAAAGTCTGAAATTTATTGCAACTGTTATCTGTTGTTATTCAAATATTTATCTGTCAGTTAATTGACTGACAGATATAACTGGCTTGTACATGAAGCTTAATCGTTTTGCCTCACTAGCTTTATGATTCCATCATTTGTAGAAGAACAAACAAATTCAGAAATTTGTATATGCTCACTCTTGTGAATGATTTCCCTGCCTTTGCACATCACTTTTCCTGTCATTTCCAGTTACTCCTGACAGCCTGAGAAGCGGAAGAGCTAGAGTGGGTTGCTTTCAAAGATCCCTCAGTTATTGGTGGCATGGTGTTTTCTTCTAAATACCTGTATTCAAATCCTACTCTAATCCCTTGTGTTGACTGGTAAATGTGTGAGTGATCTATGTGTGAATGAGGAACTGGCTCCCTAAACTCACAAGAATCTCACAAGTTTGAAGATAGGGCTAGGGGTTGATCTCGGGCACAAATGTAAAGATACGGGACAAAGTCTACCTCAGTGAAATGTTCAGGGAGCATGGGGGGGCTTCACACTGCAACAAGTTCCCTGGGAATTTGTGATGACCATGGGAGTCCCTGAGCGCTGGTAGATGGCATTCAGGATCCAAGATTCCCCAATATTTTGAATTTAAATACACTTTAGTACAACTTCAACTTTCTCCAAATGCTTGTTTTGTGCTGCAGTCATTATTAGCTTTAATTTAAGACATTCTAAAACATTAATATATCATAAATGAGAAGCTGTGAAAAAAATTGATTCAATATTTTTAATCTGTTGTGTGCACGTGCCTCAATAAAAATGTGCGGATTACGGGAATTATTTAAATCAACTGTTGTTACTTTTCTACCTAATCAAACTATTTACATTCATTCTAATTTTGTTGAACAATTGTGTTTATCCCCCTTTTTTCATTTTTGAAAGGTTTTTAGCTTTCTATTGGAATTTTTGGAATTTTATCAGTCTTGAAAAGCATTTACTCAGGGCCATTTTCATTATCTTACCCTGCTACCCCCTTTAATTAGTAATTGGCTTAGAAGTCTTCTAACGATTAGTATTCTTATAATAATATGTATTTTTTAACTTATTTTTAATGTTCTATACCTGCTAAGTAGGTTTTTGTTCACCATTATGGAAGTGACATGTTTTTCTAATTTGACTTAACAGGAACAATTTTATTAGTGTAACTCTGTGGGTTGGAGGAATAGAACTCTAAGTGAGGGAAAACTTTCTAATTGATGACTTGAGGACAACGTGCTTTCTCCCAGAAACAGCTTTGAAAGAGCTAAACATCCTAGAAATGAAGAGAAGCGAAATTTTATACAACAGATCCAATGACTAACCAAAATTGGATGACTGCAAATTATGAAATGTGACACATAGTTGCAAGACTAGAACATATTGGTTCTCCCATATAACATGCAAACAAGAATGATTCCATAAATCGACTGGCATCTGTCTCAGTAAATTGTGATCAGACCTGTGAATGATACCACATCGAATGGTGTAAGAAGATAGAAAAAACAATCAACCTATACTCTCATTAGCACAGGAAAACTTTGATCATAGCCTAGATCTAACAAATTACAAACAAAGAAAATGCACATCTGTGAATAATGATATGGAGGAGGAAAAGTTAATACTTTTGCATCACCTCAACGATACAATCTCAAATTTTTGGTTGGAAAATGTGTTTTAGGTTCTTTTAAGCTGTAACTTTGCACACACATCAAGGTCAAGGTAAATTAGTGCTGTTTCAAAGGTGGTTAAGATTAGTGCAGGTGGCTCAGGAGGTAAATGCAATTTTGTGCCCGATGATCAGGATTTCTATATATATCTACGCATGTATAAAAGTATATAAATAACTGACATATTAGAAGAGCTTTGAGCTGAAACTTGTAAATAAGTCTGGAGTAACATCTAATTGTGGTGTTCTGGAGGTCATTAAGATATTTTACTGTAATCGTTTGGGTACTTCACCTGAGGCCTCTGTGACATTTTCAAATTTAAAAAAAGCTGAAATAGAAGAAAGTGTATTTACAAAAATGGTGAGTTACGATTTTTATTAAAACCACTGACATTTTAATAGTTGCAGAGTTCAAATTTATTTTCAAACCTGTCCTGTTCTACACCTCCAATATTAAAGCCAGAGACTTCATTCTGAGCAGTTCCCTCAATTTTAGTTCTTAAAATGATTTTTTGTACTTTTCTTAAAATGTGAATAGTTGTTGAATGTCACTAAGAGGAGGAAACTTTCAGAATGCTGTGCATTCCCACTAGTTTTATTCAAGTGAGTAAGGTAGTTACGGAGCGGTTCTAATGTTAAGAATCAGTGAATGAGTAATGAGATAATTGATGATTAGCTACACAACTTTCTGTTCACATCTCAAGTTTTCTTTGTAATGGACATCTGGAAAAGCAAAAAAGCAAACATGAAATCATCAAATGATGTGATTGATGACCTACATAAGTATGTTTTCATGGTAATGGTAAACATTTACCATTAAGAAAAAAATTATATTTGTAATGCTTGTGATATTGTATACTCTTAAATGATGTTTATATTTCCTTGTAAGGCAGATTTAAAAAAATTAAAATTGTTACATTGAATACTTTCCTCTGTTTTCTACAGTAAAAAGAGAGAAGTTGTACCTGATCTTGCACCCATGTTATGGAATTCCTTTGGCACTACCGCTGCTCTTCTTCAAGAAATAGTGAACATCTATCCTGCTATTAATCCAGCATCTCTTACTGCTCACCAGTCAAATAGAGTGTGCAATGCTCTGGCTCTACTGCAGTGTGTTGCATCCCATCCAGAAACACGTTCTGCATTTCTGCAAGCCCACGTTCCATTGTTTCTTTATCCTTTTCTTCACACAGTTAGCAAGACAAGACCTTTTGAGTACCTGAGATTAACTAGTTTAGGTGTCATTGGAGCACTTGTTAAGGTAAGAGTTATTACAGAAATTTTTGTTCTGTTATCTTATAAATGGCTACTCTTCTGAGTTTAGTTTTGTAAACCATTGAACATTGAAAGTCAACTTGTAAGGTTTGTAATTTAATTTAACTTTTCTTTAGAAACAAAAAGTTTTGAGAATCTAGACAAAACCTTCAGGAAAATTGTTTTGAAGAAATATAATTCATTTTATATTATCGAAAGGAAATATAAAACTATTTTTGATAAAAAATCTATTGAGTACTTAGAAATGCTGTGATGGGAATACAGATATCTTGTATTTTGGAAAAGACATTTATAACAGTGTATTTAAAATTGTGTTCTGTCTGTTTTATTACAAAAAATCATGCTTCTCTTTGATAGACTGATGAGCAAGAGGTGATCACCTTTTTACTGACCACTGAAATCATTCCTCTTTGTCTCCGAATTATGGAGAGTGGCTCAGAATTATCCAAAACTGTTGCCACATTTATTCTTCAAAAGATTCTTTTGGATGATAGTGGTCTTTCATACATCTGTCAGACATATGATCGTTTCTCACATGTAGCAATGATACTAGTAAGTATTTTGATGACTGTATTTTTAAAAACTTTTACTTAAAAATGTGTGATCAATTTGTGGAATCTGTTTTACAGCTTTATTTCTCATTATGTTGTAAGAAATCACTATTCATGTTTTTTTAATTATATCAATTGAATCAGGTTTGTTCCCGAACATTATTCAGTTTAAATGAGTATTTAAAATAGATACATGCTACTAAAAATGTCTTCTTTTTTTTATCAAAAATGTGAAATAAGATTGTATACTTCTATTTTTGATTAATCATGCGAAGTTAATAAACAATAATAAATTTATTCAAACTGCAATTGGGTGTAACCTGGTTGCAGCTAATGACACAAATATGATATCTAACATGCGAATTGCATACAGTAATAATAATAGTAATAATAATAATAATAATAATAATAATAATAATAATAATAATAATAATAATAATAATAATAATAATAAATTATTTTGTTCCAGAATGATAATTTTTGTTATTTGACTTACTCTTAAACATACAATAAGAAAAATTTTGTAATGATGCTAAAAAAGTAGACTGATGGAAATGCATGTTTTTGAGAGTCCTCGATACTAAGAGTTTTCTATTAGTCTGTGAAAAATATAAACGTCCATAAACAGGATTTTCTTGAAAAATAATATTCTTTGATCCGTGTGACTCAGGTCCTCCAAATTTTGGGGTATGCTTTACATTAAGCTCATATTACAATTTTATAATTTTCTTTTCAGAAACGGCTTCAAATCTTTTTTATTAAATTTCTTGCTTGAGTAAAACAAAGTATATTTTTAAATACTGTTTAAGTTCGACTTTCATTAAAACCTCAAAACTTTTAAAAATTTCAAAGGCATAAATTGAAGTTCCGTGGAAATTTAAGTTTTTGAGATAATCAAGCTTTAAATGGCACACATTCAGAAACTATCCATTGACATTTCCTTAAAAGTGTTTTCAAATTTTTGCTAAAAAATTCTCAAGAAAAGAGGTTATCTGCTTGTCTTCAATGTTCTGAAAGCTTCATTTTTATTAAAAAGGGATAAAACATATTAAGAATAGATGAGAAAACAGGCTGTATTTTTTGTTCAAATGCAATACATAAAATATCAACATTCCATTAATGAGGACTAAACCATTCAGTTAGTTGAAATGTTTTCCAAGTTTTGAGTTGTTCAAAGTTTGTGTTATTTTAACAAAAAATTTTATGGAAAAGATGCTTTTTGAAACTGAAAAGGTTTTAGTTAAGCAATTATAAAATTTACAGCAATATCTTAACTACTTATTAAAGTTAATTATATCAGAGATCTTAAAAACTTATCCAATAAACTGTGCTCTTTTGAAGGGCAAAATGGTGCTTTCCCTTGCAAAGGATCCATCAGCCAGATTGCTAAAACATGTGGTTCGGTGTTACTTGCGTCTGTCTGACAATCCTAGGTGAGTTAATGATCAAAATGCATTTTTATTTTTAAATTAGTTTCAAATTGAGAAACACAGGTAGGGTGGTGCAACCAGAGTGCGTCATTGGATCCCCCGAAGCCCAAGGCTGCCATTTAGGACACCTGCCAACTCCCAATAAAGATTCCAAAGACAGTGAAGGACCCTGTTTGGACTGTCTGCATTGGGGCCCCTGAGATTGTAGCTATGTCTGTTCAAATGTGTATTATGAATTGTCATTGTTAATGCTTAGATATTGCAAATACGTTAAATGTGATGTATTGTAAGGGGAACTGTTAAGGAAAAAGATTAATTCATGGAATGTATTGTAAATATTTCAATTCTAAAGCTTTCTAAAGTCAGAATGTGTCAGAACCCTCAGAAAAGTCAGAACTCATGTGATGAGTCAGGACTGTGCCAGCTACGATACGAGAAATCTCAGTATCTGAGATGTGCCTGAAGGGAGCATCTCAGAATAGACAATTTGTGACATGTCTTCACAGGCTCAATTTTCACACACTTTCAATTTTCCCTTCACAGGCTTAGAAAAAGCTGCAAATTCATTGCAGCCATGCAAAGAGAAACCCAATTAGGCACCTCCTTACAGGCGTAAAGCACATCACTTTGACTACTTTTTTTAGACACAAACATTCTCTCTTATGGGTATTAGGCTGTGTGTGTGTATGTGTGCCCACAGGTGTGTGCACATATGTGTGCATGTATATGTGTTTGTGTCTGTTTTTGTTTGTTTTGTTGTCAATATTGCATCTCTTGTTGTTGTTGTTATTATATTTATATTTTGTTATTAATTTTGGGGCGCAAAATTTCTTAAGTTCCTATGGAGATAACTATCACTTGGAAAACGTTGACATTTGATGTGGCTGACTACCCATTTGATTTTGTCATGCCACACCACTGATCTTAACTATAATTCTGGTGGTTTAGAGATTACCATCAATTTCACACAAATTACTGAGATCTGCTTTATTCTGATTATAAATGTCATATCTCAACTATTCAGTAAATGTCTACTGTTCGGGTATTTTGAAATTTTTTTGGGTGGTTGTGTTTGAGCGAGAAATAAGAAAAATTGTTTTGTATTTAATTTTTTGCAATATTTTGATAAGGTGTTAATGGTTTATTTTGTAAACATTGTAATGCACATTGTAAATGCACATTTCTAAACTGCATAACTTTGCTTAATATTGAAATTGCATCCAAGATCCTTAGACTGGTTGCTCTGATTCCTAGTTTTCTGTGGTTCTCCATTCAGTACCAGTTGAACACATACTACACACTCCACTGCCACTCATATTGCGAGGCCAGACTGCAGTTTAGAGCTTGTCCTAGCTGATTGATGGTGCATAGAGCGGAAATTCTCCACATGCAGAAATGTAGCTTGGCTCCAGAACTCGCTGTCTGGAAGTATGGCGAGGCAATCACTGCCACCTTCCAGGAGAAAAAACTCACTACCCTCATGGGACTAACGGCAATTACAATAAATAATCACTCTTATCATCTAATATTCTGTTCTTCCTCCTACGTTTACACCTTAAAATACATGCTTTTTTTTCATAACCGGATTTCAGGGTCAAAATACTGTGAGAGTTGAGAATATGAAATGTAAATTGTGAAGATTTTGCTTTGCTAAAACCTTGTGTACCTTTGTACTGCAGAGCTCGTGAAGCTTTACGCCAGTGCCTACCTGATCAACTGCGTGATGCTACTTTTGCCAGTTGTCTTCAAGATGACAAGTCTACAAAGCATTGGCTCTCACAACTCTTGAAGAACTTGGAAGCTGGACCTGTGACAGTAGGGGACCCTCGTAATGTTGGAATCTCCCCTTTGGCCCCACAATAAATGAAAGAAATCTTGTAAACATTTCGCCATTTTCTCACTAGATTGAAGACCAAAGATAATATGGGTACTATAAATCATTCTTGAGAGATGATTTGGGTACTTCCAAATTTGTTCATGTTGTTACATTGGAATGTACAGTTAAATATTTTTGCAATAAATTAGCTACTACTTTCATGAAAGTTTTAAAAAGTCAGATAAATGGGGCCTAAAATTATGGGAATTGGCAATTGTTGAAAGATATTGTGATAGGTTTCTACTAAGATGTAATGCATGTACAAATTGATTTAAAAAAGCGAGATTTGTAAGATTTTAATATGTTGTACAGAGGTAATATATGTGTGAATGTATGTAGCCGAGGTAGTATTTTTGAATGACAAGGAGTTGGTGCACAAGATGCAGATATGAAAAGAATTACCACTTATGGCAATAAGGAAGAAAAACAAGTTAAATGAAAGTATTTAAAAAAGATTTTAATTGCGCTTGTGCAGTGACCAAGGACTCTTCTGGAGTTAAATGGTAACATGCTTTTTATTTTACTAGGAATCATTTCCTAATTTTAAATACATTCAGATTTTTGCATTTGTTTTTCTTGGTTGATTACATTTTACATCAATTTCAGTTTCTCTGTGTATGTTTAACAAGATTCCTTTACCTTAGATTACAAATTTGACACATTGAGATACATTGTTAACGAGTAGAGTATTGAATTATTATTTCCAGAAAATGTATGTTAAATATTATACTTAACTTGAGATCTTCCATAAGCCAGGCTTGTTTCATTTTTTAGTTTGGGTTGTTAATTGTTTTAATATATAAAGATTTTGTGAAGCAGTGGTGTGCAATTGTTTCTACAGTAATAATAGTTTTACTTGTGTGAAAGAAACTTCAATGGACAGCATTTTAGGAGTACATGAAGTTTTTTAACTTGAAATTTAATGTAAGAAAGAATATTCAAAATATCCTCAAAACGCTATGTGCTTTGAAGTATACATTTAGCTTTGTACCTCCATTGCAAACCAATCCAGATCCGGGATTCTTATCCTTACTGCTAGTACTGTGCCATGAAAAATTGGATGCTATTGAAGAGATTCGGACAGTGACTGGGATTGGGACAGTGTGCTGGTTAATATGAATTTACACTTTTTGACATAGATTAATGAGTTGCAGGCATCAATTTAGAAAAAATGTGTTGACTTGCCTGGTATTTCATTTGCTGTGGACACTGAAGAGATTTTGGAGAAAGAAAATATTTACTACTCTCTGAGGAAGGGGTACTACTAATGTATAAACTAAACCCAGAGCTTATTTTGAGGATTCTTTGTGGGTTCTTTCCTTTATTAAACAAATACTAAAAATGTGCTTGTGTGGGTGATATGAATACTTCAATACTGTGAAAGAATTGGCTCTTAATTTGCCGTGACAATTTTGTGCATTATGCTGGTTATTGATAATGTGAAGAATTTTTGTTATTAATTTAAGTGATTGTTTTGTGTGATATGATATGAATATGTAATAGAACAGCCATATGTAATACAATTGAACGACTATTTAAAAGAGCAAATGCTGAATAGTTGTGAGTTACAAGACTGCTAAAATGACTGCCAAGTAATGGTGTACTTCCTGGTTCACTCTTGCATAATGTAGCTTGTACATAACTTGCCTTTAAAATCTCATTCCATAAAAATTTATTCAGTAAGAAAGAAAAATATGTGGTCACTTAGCTGACATTTCTGCAGGAGAGCCTGGAAATAATATAATGGGAGTGGATTTGCATCATTGGGTCACAGTGAGTAACAAACTCAATGGAAAATTGTTTTGAAATTGAATTGGGTATTGCAGAACTATTCTGTAATATTTATTGTAACCTTCCACATTCCTGTGTCTGTCTTGATTTTGTCAGCATAATTAACATTGTGCACCTTTCACTTAGTTGTCTTAGTTCTATCAGAGGAGTTTGTATTTTTTTTTTCCATTGTTTCTTTTGTGTATCAGAACTTTTTAATTTTATTTGTGCTATAATTATATGTTGTATAATTACATAATCAGAAAATTATGTGACGACTTACTGAGTTAATTTCTTTGATGCATAAAAGATGGAGCACAATACGAGCAAAACTTTCAAGTGAGTTGCAAATTGTTTGAAAGTTGCAGAAAAAAATAAATTTTGTATATATTAAAAGTTGCATACCATTACATTTTGGTACTGCCATATGTGGTTTTGGAATGTGACTTTTTACTGTGCATCTTCTTAATTTTAATATTGTATGAAACATCACAAAGTGGTTTTAAATCAAGGTGCACTGTTTTTACTGAAAATGTTTTGCCTTAATTTTGAAAATATTCTAAGTATCTTTAAAAGTTCATTGGTCAAAAGTGCTTTAATGTAAGTTCATCAGCTTTCCACATCCATCAGTATTTTATTAATTAAATTACTTGTAAATAATCATTTACAAATGTCATGCTATCAACACAGAATGTTTTAATGTGTGCTAGTAAAAATTAAGATGAATGTAATTTATTTCATACTTAAATTGGTGATTCATACTTGTAGGAGCTGCATTATATCATAGGTTGACTGCACTGGGAAGATGTTTTTTGAATTATTAATATTACTATAAAAAAATTACTTGTATTCAATATAGTGTATTACATATTTCTCTCATTTTAGTTAATAATCTTGGATATGAGCCTAAGAAAATAATGTACTTAATATTCATTTATAGTAATGTGTTTAGACAGTGCAGCTTAACTATGATAACCTGTTTGTTTATTATCAGTAGCAAATTTGCAGCTAAATGTTATGTATTGCTAGGTGTGTAATGCTTTTGAGTTTTGAGGTTGAATCTGAATATTGTTAATGGTGCTAATACCAAAAATGTACCTGTCAGCCAAACATAAATTATTATTTAACTTCGGAATTTCAAGTCTGTCTGAAATAGGTCCTTTATTATCTAATAGTTATATATTCTCGTAATCTGCAGTGTGAGGAATAACTCTCTGCAAATTCAATTGATTTTTATCTTTATTTAGTTGTGAGAAATTTCTTGAAATAATTAGTATGTAAATCAATTCTATTGTTATATTTTATATTGAAGACAGTGATGTATAGAGATTTGTACTATACACACGTGGATTTTTTTCTAAGAATGGTACCTCATGAAATATTTATTGATTTTGAAATGATTTTGTCTTCATTGATTTTTTGTTTGTTATGATTATGAATTGAAATTATATATTTGCTTTAGATTAAACCTATTTTCAATTGCTATAAATTTAAAAAATTACATTTTTGTAGCCTTATTTACATTAGCTTTAGATAATAAAGGATCTGAAATTAGCATATTTGTGATTCGTTACAAGAGAATTAATGCGGGACTATAGTGATTTGTATTTCCTAATTTTTGTGTATTTCTGAAAATAAGTGAAAATATAAATACTTGTGCATACAGTTTTGTGTTGTTCTTTTCTGTTCTGTAACATAGGTATTAATTTTTCAAGCTACAATTCTGTGTAGCATTTAATTTAGACATTGAAGTTGGAGAGATTCTCTTATATCTGCTGTTGAAGATGCAAACATTAACCCCTATCCACCAACATTATACTTCACTGATTGTAGCTAATCATAGGCCGGGCAGCAATTCTGGCACCACTTGGAAAACAGAGTTTCAGGATAAAAGTATTTTGTTGAAATGCAGTTTCACATGAAGAATAATTGATGGTAATGGAATAAGCATTACTAAAGGGCTTTATCGCAGTTCCAGTAATAAGTATTATAAAATATTATTGTTAATAATTATAACTGAAAATTCATATTTTTTGAGTATGCCAGTGTTGCAGTCTTTAATTTTCATATCATAAATGATTAGCAAAAGGAATGTCGTTAATTTTACCAGAAATTTGGCAAAATTTTGCAGTTGCAGAATTTAAGCCGTTCAGCAACCTCTTTTTCTCACTTTGTACTTTCTTGTGTACAGAGAAAGTTATGTTATATTGAGGAAAATTGATTTCAAACTTCCAACAGACATGCACACATTTGAATCAATTGATAATGAAAAGGTGTATTTTTTTTCAAAACATCTATCTCTGAACAACACTATAAAATAGCACCTAAACTATTTGTAGAATTTTTGCCAAAATATCGTCAGTTTGATTGAACCAGAGTTGAAGCCCTACAATTCTGAAAAGAATTCTTTAAATTTTTGGGGCATCTTACATTCATGAAGACCGTGAGTATTTGGTATTTGTCAAAATTTTCTCAAAAATGACTCAAATTTTTTCTTTAAATTTCTTGAAATAATAGAGTGAAAAACCAAGATGGCATGGCAAAGTATGGAATTTCTTGAACCACCTTGAACAATTACTTTATTGAAAGCGGAGATTTTTTCTTTGAATAACATTTTTTCCCAAAAATTATTTCTGTAACTATTGTCGTGTACATTTTGTAATTTTGAGTAAAATATTGGCAATATTAAAAACAAGATTTTCTCAAAAATATCTCCAAATTTTTTTCTTTAAACTTTTTGTAAAAATAATGATGAATGCTATGAATAACAAGACAAAAACTCCATTTTGATTTTTCAAAAATAACACCTATTTATGCAATATTTTTGAAATTGTATATGACACATTTATTTAGGAGGCTTTTTGTATGGTGTTGCATTTGTGAGTACAAGTTCTTCATATGATTTCTGCTCTCAAATTTCTCAAAAATGCAAAAGTTTTCAGTGAATATGAGCTCAAAGTTGCATGTTTTCAGAAATCTTTAAACATTTTCTCAAGAATAGCTTTAAATTTTTAAGTAAAAATTTGCATTCAGGACCATATTTTACTCTTCTATAATATTCTTAAAATCATATTTTGATCCTACTATTAGGGGAGTAAAAAATTGTCTTTTAGGTACGTACAAGTAGCAGCTAGGAAGTGGGTGCCGATACCGAAAAGTTAGCCTGGACTAAAGAGATAAGAAAATAGCTAATGTAAGAAAGTCTACGTCATTCTATGGCATCACTAGTTTTTTAAGACAAGAACTGAATTATTAAATTAATTTTTTACTAGCTGGCTGCTATCCAAAAATTCAGTATTTTGTAAATTGTTTTAAAAGTAAATATTAATTCGTTGAAGAATGAAGCTTTGAATGGCCAGCCCTCGAGCTGATACTGTGTACCCATTGTAATGTTACTAAGCGTTAGGAATAATTTGCACAAAAAAATCAAACAGTGCCGTCAATTTTATTATGAGATTATTTATTTTTCCTTCATTTTATATTGATATCAGGTTTCTTCTCATTTCTATTCATCCTTGGCATACTGTGTGAGCACACAAAATAATGAAATTTCCAAAAATGTACTAGAAAGATCGAAAAGATCTCAATTTGTAGAATACTATTTTTGAAACATTATTTGGAACCCACTTGCCCTTTCATTTCTCCATAGGTCCACACCTGTACTTCATCATTTTGTCACATAAAACCCCAAAACTCATGTCCCCACAAAACTTATGACATTTGAAACACAAAAGCCTGGTTTTAAGGACCTAGGATGCATTGTTTGTGAGTTTCCTTTTATATATTTAACAGTAATCTGTTGTTTAAGTCATAATTGCTGGATAAACTTCATTAGTTTAATATGCAAAGATTTAATAATAATATGAATAGGCGAGAGTTTAATAATAAAGTTCAATTTGTTGTCTTAAATCTGGTAGATGCAGCACTAGGGAATGATTTCCTATTCAGCAATAGCACACTTTCAGTGTCATTGATTCTTGTAATTGCGTTGTTGGTTTTTATAAATTGTCAAAGACACCATTTATCCTTACCATATTATGTGTAGAGTGGATATATGATCTTCTAAGTACAATAATTCTTTGAAAACTAAGGTGGGAACATTGAGAAAGAAGTCAATACAGCTGAAGACCATGACATTCGAAAAGAAAGACTGGACAAACAAATGGGTTTGCAAGTTAGGAGAGGGTTAGAACGGATAGAACAATTATATTTTTGTGAGAGGAAGCACACATGCACTGATGGGGAAATTAAATAAGATATTTTTGCACATGCTAACCTTTAAATGATGCATTATTATGGTCACAATAGAAGAAATCAACAGCACAAAGTCTCTTGACTGTCTAGGTGATGCAACATCAAAGGCCAACACGTTGGCCCGCTTGTAGCCTTCTTAAGGGCTGGTCTGCTCTGGGGTTTATGTAAGGGTGGGGACAAATGTTATTGGTTGAAGCAGATGGTCAATCAGAGGAGCCGACATCCCAGCCTTAGACATGGTACCATCTGGACAGCCAAAAACACTCACAAGACTGGCTGTGGAAGCCTACAAACTTAGCTCAAGGTTGTCTTTAGAGTTTGACAATTTCTTATTACTTTCAATGATTAATTGGATGAATATGTTCACATTTTCTTTTATCTTCTAGTTATCCAGCATATCATATTAAGATTGCTTAATGGGTATTTGAAATTTGGACATTGTTGAGTGTGAAGTAACTGCTTGGCGATATTTGGTGATGGGGATGTAACAGTATATTGAGTTTGCTGACTCTGACAATGTGAAAAGTAAACATTTTTAGTTTTTATCTTCTATATGACCTTGATTCTTCCTATTTTATTTATTCTGAATGCTACTAACACTTTCAGGAACATATATTCTGTGTTGTCTTTATGAAGTTTCTAATATTTTTATGGAATTTTGCAACAGTGTACCCTTTTGTGAATAGTTTATTTATGTGATATTCTCAATGTTAATCAAGAAATTCTTATTCATCACTATCTGATTTTTTATTGATGAACTGTGCAGTGTCATGACCTCCCTGTCTGTGAGCCCTGAAAGGGATTCAGTTTGTTTTAGCAAATATGCAGTTTTCTGATATGTGGTTATTAAAGAAAGAAAGAAAGAAAGAAAGGAAAATGAAATAAAATAAAATAAACAAAAGGTTGTGTGTCAAACGTATAATGATGTGTAAGTCAACAGCTGATCTGCCTAATACTGAACGTTTTCTTCTTTCATCCAACTGAAAATTTGCTGCAATTGCCAAGAGCCACGCAAACCTTTGGCTCTGTGCTTTGAATTCCTTAAGATTTGCTGATAATTGCTCTAAGCAGTGAGTCAGTTCTTTGAGGAAAGAACACACTAAGAGTATGGAAAGTCAAGATTCAAATCGAACATAGTTGAAAGATGGCATGTCTTTTTTTTTCTGTGTCATTGTTGTATGCATTAAAATAACAATAAAGGAAGGCAACTAGAATAATTAATGAAAAATACATTCTTGAAAATATTATCTTCCCTTTACAGTTTGCTTTGCTTTTTTGACTTAATTCCTATACACTGAGTTTCAGAATTGGAATTTGTGGATAAGTTAGTAATATTTAATATTTTGTAAAACTTATTTTAGTAAATGTATGTGAAACAGGACAAGTAATATTGTATGGAATGTATAATAAAACAGAATGCCTTGGCAAAAGAAAATAAAAGATGTTTTTAAAGGACACATTCATTTTTAAAACAAAACATTTTTGAATAAAATTTAATTAAAAGTGAAAGACTAATTTTTATTTTTTTCGTTTTTACTCTTTTTGAAGTGAAATATATGAAATATGTAATAAAATCTGTTTAAAAATGTAAAAAAAACTTTATTTTCTATAAGAGTCAAATCAGATTTTGAGTATCAGGTTTTGAGATTCAAAATAAGTATTATTTCTAGTTTCCTGAAGCTGATCAACAGATCTTAAGTATGGAAGCAGGTTGTATCTATAAAAAGAATTTGTTATATTTTTTTGTATTATTCGCACTTGTATTATTTTTCATGAATAGAAGAAAATTTAAAAGAAAAATAAACCTCATTGCTTTTGACATGAATTCAACTCAGTGAAAAATATGTTTCAAGAAATATGGTAAGGGAATCCATTATATCCTCTAGGGGAAGACATGGCAAGTGGAGATCAGTACTTTACACTGGGGAAAGGGGAAAAAAGTATAAAATTGTACTTTTTAGAAAATGAACATGCCAAAAAATTTTAGTTTAGTAATTTTTTTTACAAACTAAAATATTCAATTTTTTTTCTTTTAGTGTTGTTATTTTTTCCTAAAAAGGTATTTTTTTCATTGACCTGAAGGAATTTTCTTTTAAAGAAATGCATATTTATGATCTAGTGAAAATGTAATACATTTCAAAATTAAAGGATCTTAAAAGATACTTCTGAAAAATAATTTGGTTCAAGTTTCTTTACTCCAGTTCAAAAGGTAGGGTTTAGCCAACTAAATTGAAAGAACAATTTTGAGGAAGAAGTTTGTTTTAATAGTGTGTTTCTATTAATAAATCTGAATACAGTGGAGAAGAAGAAAAACACAGGACACTCCTACCATTTCACCTTTTGCAACAACGCAAGAAAGAACTTAGGAAAAAAAATGATCAGTGCATAAATACAATAAGTTTATTTTTATTGCACGCAGATGTACTGAAACACGGACAATATCGGTGTAGAATGATTCTCCTTCTCAAAGTTGAACTAAGAATCACCTGATTATACAAATATTGTAAAAAATGTGCCTAAATGATTAGTTTCTTATTTATTAGTATGGAGTTGTATCAAGCTTAAGGCAACTCATTACACAACCCTACTCCAAG